GGGTGTTGAAATATTCAAGCGATTATGGAGTTGGTATTAATCCATTTGCTTAGCTCCAGTAAGGTTTGCTTTATGAATCTGGTGGCACCTAAGTTGGGTGCATATATATTTAAAATTGTTATCTCTTCTGTTGAACTGTGCCCTTCACCATTATATAATGACCTCCTTTGCTTTTTACTACTTTTGTTGGTTTAAAAACTAAATCGTCTGAAATTAGAACTGCCCCACCAGCCTTCTTTTGGCTTCTATTTGCTTGGAATATTGATCTCCACCCTTTTGATTTTTAGTCTATATGCATCCTTGCAGGTTAGAGTTGTTTCCTGAAGACAGCATATACTTGGCCTGTATTTTCTTTTATCCATTCAGCCAGCCTATGTCTCTTGAGTGAGAGAGTTTAAGCCATTCACATTTATTGGAGACAACTGATACGTAAGGTAGATTACTGATCATTCTGTTGGGTTGGATGTTTGTTGCTATGATTTCTGTCTTGAGCCATTGTAATATCTGGCCTTTAATATCTTTGGGTTTTGTTGTTTTTATATTCGTGGGTTATTATTTAGATGTTCCGTGCATAACGCTGTTTTAATTACTTCTTGTAGGCCTGTCTTGTCTTGGTGAATTCTCTGAGCCTTTGCTTGTCTGGAGAATGTTTTTATTTCTCCTTCATATACGAAGCTTAGTTTTGCAGGGAATAAATTTCTAGCCTGGGCATTGTTTTGTTTCAAAAGAGTGAAGAATGGCCCAGTCTCTCCTTGCTTGTAAGTCTCATTAGAGAACTGATGTTATTCGAATTGGTTTCCCTTGTATGTTACTTGCTTCTTCTGTCTTACAGCTCTTAGAAGGCCTCTTTAGTTGATACTTGGTCCAGTCTGATGACTGCATGTCGTGCGTCTTCCTGTTTGCGTTGAATCTCCCAGGGTCTCCCTGAGCTTCTTGAACTTGTATATCAGATTTTGAGCGAGCGCTGGAAATTTTCCTCTATTATATCTTCAAAACAGCTTTGTCCAACCTTGAGTGTTGTCTTCTTCCCTTCTTGTAAGCCTATGACCCTCAACATTAGTTTTCTTCACATATCCCACAGCTCTTGTAGGCTTTGCTCTTTTCTTTTGTTTCTCCTGCTCTATTTCTGTGACTGATTTATTTAATTGGAGGTGTTATCTTCAAGCTCTGAGATTCTTTCTCTGTTTCTTCTACCCTGTTCTTGAGACTTGTCCACTGTATTTTTAGTTCCTTGAATTGATTTTTCATTTCCAGGAGTTCGGTAAACTTTCTTCATTGTGTCTATTTCTTTCCCATATCCTGGAGACTTTTTGTGGTTTCTTGTGTTGTTATTGAGTTGTCGTTGCAGCTGGGTGAGGTTCCTTGATGCCCACATACCGAAATTCCTCTTCTGTCATATTGGTTGCCTGATTTTGGTTGGTTCGTTTCTATGGGGCGTGGTGCTCCCTCTTTGGGGTATTTTTTCTGTTTGGTTCTCTCATATTTCCTGAGTTCTTTCGCTGATTTCTTCCATGTCGAGTCAAGTTGTTGTTTCTTTCCTTTAGGTTATTGTTTGGGTATTCCACACCTTGTT